CCAAAAACGCAGAGGGAGATATTTTGGTTCTTCCCTCTGTTCTGTTCTAATTTCTTTCATCCCTTTGCCTTGTATACTTCCTGCTGCCTATGGTCCCTCTAGCCCATCACATATGTTGCAGTACAAACTTAAAAAAAAAAAATTCTAAGAACAATGATCAAGAAAAAAACAAAATTTGGTCTAAACAGACACTGACACTATGCTCAGCTTCCAAATCTGGTCTTTCGAATTCAGTTTTTAAGGACTATGGAGAAATGGTAATGAACCACTTACCATTTTCTTCCACTTCATCCTCCGGTTCTGGTACCACGTCTTCACCTGGAGCTGGGTCAGCCCCAATGACTGGGCTAAGTCAAGCCTGGGAGACAAGACAGACATTGGAATGAGTTCACAGAGGAGAAACAAAAGCCCAGATGCCAGGTGCAGCCAATCCAACAGTGGGACCATCAGAAAAGATGGCTATTTGTCTCTCTAATCTGTTCTTTTGAGAAAAGGTCAGACAAAATCGGTAAACCACTGTGAATTCAAGATGTAAAGATAGATGCTCTTACGCAAGAAGAAAGAATATTTAGCTGCTTGCAGGCTAACTCTTCTCTTTGACCACTGGACAAATGGACAAGCCTAAAAGCTGCAGAGGGTTGCCTGACCTCTTGGAAACGTAAACCTGCTCTACTCCAACCTCTGCCCCTCTACGTCTAGATACGAAGCAGGGAGCTTCTGGTACACTGCATCCCTGAAAAACAGGTCTGTTGTATCTGAAAAAAACCCCACGTAAGAACCAAGACAGCCAGCATCAGTCTGCCTTTGAAAGTGCTGCTCTTTGTATCATATTTCTTCTTCACTACCAACATAATGGGGATAATAATGCTTTCTCATTTCTCACAGAGTAGTAGTACATCTAAATCTATTAATTTCATCTGCATTCTGCCATTATAGGCAATTTAGGCTTATAAATGAATTTTTTATTTGCGTGTTTAGCTTAAGGGTATATGTGGCAGACAGCCCATAATCCTGATTCATCCACTGCAAATCTCCAACCTGTGCAAATTCACCTGAAACCATTCATTATTTCTATATTAAAACCCAGGATATTAAGCAAATGCAGCTCAGACTAACTCTTTATCCTTCCCCACAGGTGCTAGCACTATGCATCTGGCAGTGTTGTAATGGAGTTACACAATGGACGGAGTTGGAAATCCTCAACAATGCCAGGCAAGTACCCCATGGAGTCACGCAAGTCCTGCAGGTGGGACAGCTCAAACGCAGAATCACATTCCAAGGCGCTTTGGATTGTGTGAACTTTTTGGAAAATATTTCCCTGCCTTTGGATGGGGAAACACATTTGTTTGAGCAACCTGGGCTAGTGGGAGGTGTCCCTGCCCATGGCAGGGGTTTGGAACTCGATGATCTTTAAGGTCCCTTCCAACCCAAACCCTTCTGTGGTTCTATTTCAGCTGGGCTCCTAGGGCAGCCAGACTCACTGGTACATTTACAGACACCTCTGTACCCCACACCAATGCATGCTCACAGATTTGTGCCTTTCCCCCACTTTGGATTCACTCTAGACCTCCAGGCTTGGTTTGCCTGCAGCCTACGCCACTCCATGGTATCTGTGAGACATCCCATTGACTTAAAGATCCTATCACTGTTATTTAAGAAGCAGAATCCAGCAGAGGCATTATCCCATCATACTGCACTCCCTTACTGCTAACAAACCAGGTGCTTCAGTTGCCCTCCAATCTTGTGTCCAGGCCAAAAGCTGCAAGAGCAAATGCAGATGACAAGCCACTGCTTCGCCATCACGTTTCCAGCCATGAGCTGACAGAGAGAAATGCTGCTTGACTAACTCTTGCCTTAGCGCACGTCTTATCACACCTGGATTACCCGCAAGCACTTACCATCTCTTGCCACACACGTTAGTGTGGCATTGCTTAGAAACCTGCAGAAACAAACAGAGGGGAAGTGGTACACGGAGAGGAATTGTTCATCAGCAGCCTCAAACACGTACAAAGCCAAGGAACAGTCATACTAGCAAATTAATTAACAGCCTCGAGTGCTTCATCAACGGTGATGTGAAGCTGTGAGAAGTCAGTACAGGAGCATTAGGATCTCTGAAATGGTATGAGACAGCCTGGCCATGCCTGTGAAATTTGGTCTAGCTGCGATCCTCGGCTTTGGTGACATGCCAGTTTTCAAAAGCAATTTAAATACAGGGACACTGCCATCTGTGGAGTTCAAGGTGTGGTGTACCTTTCAAGCCCTCTCTAGATTTATCAACTTAAAAGGAATCAGACAGCTCTTTTTCCTGTAATTTAAATTTGCAGAATAGAATTTTTAAAACAGCTAAAACCTTTCCTTATTTTGGTTTGTCCATTTGGTACCAAGTGGTCCCTAAGAACTCGCCTTTTCCTTCCCAAAGACAGGGTCCTTGCCTGTGCCTTTCCAAGGCAAGGCAGCCTTCAACTCTGTGCGAGCCTTGCTCTGTTTTCCGAGCTGATGGACCAGCCAGCGCCTTCTCATTGAGCTGCCACCCAAGTTTGCTAGATGAAAGCCAGTTCAGCAGCCAGCTGAAGCTACAGCCAGCCCCTCAGCTGCCATGGAGACCCAGCCATCCACCACCAGATCCCAGGAGGAGACAGGCTCCACATTTTTTCAAATGTG